TCGTGGAGAAGGAGTTTTATGTGCTCAGCGTTCCTCCAGCACCTGCGAAAAAAACGCGCTTGAGAACCGTATTTGGCAAGCACAACTTTGTTTCCGTTCTTAACGCGGGACTATTGATGCGGTTTTTCGGCAGCAGCAAGAGTCCTCGAACAACCGTCCCGCGGTCAATGACTACAACGTGAAACAAAAGGAAAGAAACGAATCTTTACATGATCCACTGAAGATCGGCCGTGCGACTGGTAGTGCTTCCACTTGGTCACGAGGACCCGTAGCTTCAAGAAGGTTATCTTACAAAATTTCAACGGGTACAGATTAAAGACCACAGCAGCAAGAGTCCTCAAACAACCGTCCAGCGGTCGGTGACTGGAACAAAAAAAAAAGAAAGAAACGAATCTTTACATGAGCCAATGAGGATCGGCTGTGCGACTGGTAGCGCTTCCATCTGGTGACGAGGACCCGTAGCTTCAAGACGGTTATCTTATAAAATGTTAATGGGTAGAGATAAAGGACCACACAAAGCCAGAAAATGCGTTCTACGGCACGTGTCAACTGAGCAAGTGCTCACATAAGAAATGACGCGAATCAAGATTGACATTGCAACAGCAATGTCGCGTAGCATGGCAAAGCCAGCATTCAAGATCAGCCAAGGCTCAACACTTCATCGAACAAACATGAACTTCACAAGATGTACAAGATAGTCAACTGTTTTTTTGCTGGCATTACCGTGCTTTGGATTGCCGCGCCGTTTTGCTAGATTTTTTCCGCGGGCTTTTATGCCTGCACGAAATTGTCCTTAGTCCCCGAATACCGGAGCTATGGTTGATTTCTCCCGCTGCCACGCGTGGTCCGGGCTTAGGAGACAGCTGGGCCCCTCGGGTGCGACGAGGTCGAGAACACGGTCCAAGGAAGGGCCCTCGCTCGGCCCTGGTTGCGGGGCAGCCGGCCACGGAAAGTGTTCCCCACCAGCGCCTCGACCAGCCTGTGGACGCGGCAGCTCGCACGCCAGGGGGCGCGCGGAGAGCATGGAGGCGCACCAGGTCGCGGACGAAGTGCGCCCCTGCACTCCACCGGCCAACTTCCGCCGCCTCGCGAGAGCTCGGGGTATGCCACGCGTTTGCGACCTGTAAGGCGGCCCCGTCCCTCGCAGCCGTGCAAGGCTGGGGGTGCCCCATCCTCGGCAAGGGCGACACGAGGGTCGCATCGCAGCAAAAGGCACCCCCATGAGCGGCCGCACTGAAAAAACAACCATGGCAATTGGACACGTGAACATGGTGCGAGATCTTACAGTAGGTTTTTTTTTGGACAATTGCACATACGTTGCAATTCCAAACCAGAGTCCGAGTCAGGCCTGAAAGCCCGGAGGCGGCCCATTCAAGGCTCAGGCAAGAGCTATTACAGTTATCCGTATTGATCGATGCGTGCACTGTTGTGCTCTTGGAAATTCTGTTGGCACCGTCGGTGCCGACACGACGGTGCGAGTGAGCACGCTTGCAACATGACCAACATTAGTGAAGACCCTCAATTCCCCCGGGCGCCCAGCAGGCGCAAGAACTTGTTTTCCTGTTGATTCCCGTGCTCGACCAGTCCGCTGGGCAAGGTGTCGCAAGTGTCCCGGCTTCAGACCAGTTGCCCCGCTTGGCTTTGCTCAGCCCGTAAAAGGGCTTTCGCTGGAGGCTATTGAAGGTGCTGAGACCTGACATGCAGTAATGCTTTTACTGGAGGCTCTTGAAGAAGCGTGACATTCTGCAAATCCTTTCCGATCTGTTTGAACACCTCGGTACAGCCTTTCATGCTCTCCGGGCAACCATTAGCGCACGCGGGTGGTAATGAAACGTGCACCCTAAACCCCCGGTTGCTCTTGGGGATGACCGTTCGGGGGGATATGAGCTTTGCTGCATGCGAGGCTGGGAATGCCAGCCACTTGTTTTCTGACATGCCGTGGATTCCAACCTGAAGCCTGGAGGCTGCTGGAATGACGACGGCCTGTCTTTCAGAGCCGCGGGATGCAGCAGACAAGTCAACAAAAGCGCGTCTCATGCGTGCGCTTATCACAGATTCAGATAGCATGACGCTGCCATCCCCGAAATTCCCCGAAGGTTTGCCTGAGTCATCCGCCGTGCCCCAAAGGTGTTGTGTGGGGGAGAACGAGCATCTCCCACGTGGGTCATCGTTGCTTTGGGCAAACAGGTGCTCACGCGCAAGGGATGTTGCTCTGCAAGGCCAGCACCAAGCGCTCAGCCTCGACGTTCCTCAAGCCATCAAATCTCAGTGCCCGCCTGCGCTGCGCAAGAGTTTGTGGGCGCAGCGTCTTCCCCACTGTCAAGCAGCCTGGCAAGGCAGCAACGGCAAAACCAGAAGGGGGTCCGTAGTTGGCGCGGGTGCCGTGCAAAAGTGCAGCAGCAGCCAAGCTGCCCGCAAATCGTCCATGCACGGGACGCCCTGCCACAAGCAATCCCTACCCGCCTTTGGCCTGGAGCTGGTGGCGCTCCACCCGATCCGACCCCAACAACGCGCCCAGAACCTCATTGCTTTGCTGGCAAAGACCTATCGTTGACCCATACAAGTTTTGTAGGAAGACGGCACAGGGCCGACAGTTGAGGGGGTTCTTCGCCGGCTGCGTTCCAAACATTTCCGAACGCGTGTTTATGGGCATGCGCCCACAGTGCCTGCGCGAGTGCGTCGTGTAAGCACTGAACAACAACGACACGAATGTCGTCGAGGAAAGCCAAACTTGTTTCTTCGTTTTGCAATACGCTTTCAACCTTGCGTAGTGCTGGTCAGATTGCCAGAGAGAAGAGGCTGGGCATGAGAGGTTCATCTTGCTCTCCGCCCTCGCCCTAGATAACCTCGTGCGCGGTGCCTGAAGCGTCATACCACATGTAGCAGGTGGGGGCTGCGTAACATTGGCGGGCGGAGGGCAACGGCGGCAGTCGGGCAGCTGGAGCACGCCATTTCTGAAAGGTCATCGGCCACGCAAGTCCACAAGCGGGCGAACAATTGCAGGAAGGCGGCTACATGGCCGACTTGAACCATCTAAAGCTTATGAGGGCAATCCAGCCGCTGCAGAGCAGCTGGCTCACGCCGTGCGCCCAGCCCAAGACTTGGAGCACTTGAGGCCTTCAACGGTACCTTGAGGTCATCGGCTGGCGTCCGCAGTTTTGCGCGCATCCAATGGCAAGCTGCCCTCATGGATTTTCTAACGAGCACTTGGCTTGCGTGGCCATGGGCTTATGATTTGCCAGCTGGCGGCAGATCTGCGCATGTCCAATGGCAAAGCGCCACATTGAATTCTGATAGGAGCACGCAGCTTGTGGCTTGTGTTACCACAGATCTGGGATTGGTTTGAAGCCGGATGCAATTGAATCGGTCACTTGCCCAGACCGGAGGATAGTGACAGCCTGTTGAAAAGATTTCGGGCTCCGCAAAGGGCAGGTTTGGAACTAGCCGCCAAGCTCCTTCCTGCACGCATTGCCTCAAGACGTGGCTGCGTGAGACGGGTTGGCACAAACAAGCGCGTTGGTCCGCGCAGTTGGCCTTCAGCCCTAATTGCCGCCTGGACGTTGCTCATGATAGCAGGGCAGCCTGTGCATGTTTTTGGTTTTATGTTCAATGGTAAAGCGTGAATTTGCATTGCTGGGTCGAGTTTCGTGTGTATATACTTGCCCACAAATTGACGGAAAAGCGGCGCGTAAGCTAGATTCCGCCAGACAGAAGTGGCCGTAATCGGTAGATGCTGAGACCAGCACTATTGTCTCAACCCATGTGTCCACCTGGGAAGTGGCGAAAGGAGCAGCCGAGGGTCAAGCACCCAGGTGAACAGCGCAGGCATATGCACAGATTCCCATGTCGCAAACGTATAGAAGCGCGGAAGGCTCGTGGAAGGTCACAAGTGCCAATGCCGCGCACAGAACGACCAACCTGAAGAGCCAAGGCCAAAATTATTCTTGGCAGGGGTAGCAGGCTACACCACATGAACAGGGCGCCCTGATGCAGCAAGCCCATTTCCAATGGGTTTGCTGTGAATTCGTGTGCCTGCAGGCAAGCCGCTGAGTATGGGACAGCAATGCAAAACTGCCCAATCAAAGAATCCGTTTTGTCGAAACATGCAATGTTTCTCAGAAGTACATCATGGTATACGATGACAGGAGTCAGGCCTGCACAGCTGAAGGTGGCCTTTTAAGGCACTGTAAGGCGTAGGGAGATGGAAAAAGAAGCAGATGAAACAAAACCAGATAGTGCCTTGACTGCTTTACAAATCTTAGTAGTGCGACCTGCGGGGCATCCATGTGCCCTGCGCAAATGCGACAGGGCCATCCTGCTAGCATGGCTTGCTCGTGGATCCACGGTTACGTCCCGACGTGCCGGCAATCAGGCTTTGAGCAGCAACCGAGTCAGCCACCACCGTGGGTATATTCACACACAACACGCACCGCGAGCACCGCGAGCTGCGAGCTCCGAGAGGAGGTCAGCACCAGCACTTGGTGAGGGTAGACCTATGCAGCGCTCTCATACTGGCAGGTGCATGGTGTGCGAACCGTCGGCACCGCATGTCACAACAGGAGGCGATTAACAGGTAGGGACGTTGAGGTGGTGCGCAACACCCCGTTCGACTTGTCGCATCTCCAGATTCACGTTGTGGCCGCACGGCCCCCTAGACACTGCCTTGCCATCCTGACCGTACCGAAACCTTGGAGCCGAACATTTTTCTTCAAGGCTCTGTCACAAACGGCACTGCAGCTGCATGCGGCATAGCTAGTCCGAGTCCGTCAAGAACAAAGCAATGCTATCCGACCGTTTAGTTCGTGCCATACGCCTATGAGCCTACATCTCTAGCAGACGGCCAAAAAATCTCGAAGGCCGAGACCCCGGAACTGCAACAGATCTGCAGACCCTCTTTTCACTGTGCAGCTCTAAGCGAGGCAGCAGAAGGTCCTTCCCAAAGAATCTTCTGATCACTGTCACATGCTCCCAGATTTAGGAGACCACGACCCAGGACAATCTCAGCAAGTCAGTCTGGAGCGCAATTCACCAATTACTTCCTGGCAGCAAGAAAGCACCATCAGCTAATGATGCACCATGCAGGACTCCCATACGCTACTTAGTAGCTGCAACCCATTAGCCTCATCCAACGGAATGGTACCGGTGCGGCCATATGCCAAGCAAATCTGTACCAGGGGCTTGGCCCGAACAGCCATCTCCTAGTGCTTTCTTGACAGCATGTGGCATATTGCGGCGTTCTGGCAATGGGGCACATCACATCGCTGAGACACAGCCTGCTCCAAGTAAGCATTCTGAACCACATCGAGAGGAGGGCATGCTACTCGTAGCAGCTTGTCCTAGGCTCGGAGCCATCAAGAGAGCCGTGATCAACCTCCAAAAGCAGAGTAGACTTGTGGCACAATTGCCACGCGTTCCTTCACCCAAGGCTCGTAATAGTGGTCCAACATGGAGATGGATTTCCCCCCAGAGCTCTGGTACCTGGCAGGCAACTTGCTTAACCCGGCCAGAACATGCTCGCGCTGCCTCTCAAAACGGTCATTGGTGGCAAGAGCCCAGACTTCCGCCTGTCATAGTCTGTCAAGTATGCTTGACATAACTTGTACTGAAATCTGCCAACCAAATCCAGCGCATGTGTCTGAAGAAGCTTGATTGTCCTCTGTTTGTGGGCGCGGCGTCTCTGGCATCACAGTTGGAGTTCCCACTTCCTGGTTGTATTGCCAACAGCCTTGGCTCGGGGCCCATCTTCTACGAGAGGGCAAAAGCAACAAAGCATGGTATCAAATGATGAGCCGCCAAAGCCTGCCCTGCCAAGGAGCGGAGGATCCCGATTTCACCTGTGGCCTGGTCTCAGCAAAGGCCAGTGCTTGAAACCAAAATGAAATTCCATGAAACCACAGAACAACACCAAGGCTGACAAGCAAAGAAACATTGCAAGTATGCCCTCCAGCACAGCTTTCACTCCGCACACCTTGAAAACACCACTTCCAACACGATAGCACCAAGTGCCGCCTCCAATCGGTCTGCCCAGCGGGGCCACAAGAGCTCGGGACTCTCGAGGGCCGCCGAAGGAACCGAGTTGCCGTTTTTTGAGCCTTGATGGTGATGCAAACCCTCTGGCAGAGAATTGCCACAGGAAGACAAGTCATCACCATCTCGCAATTGATCGGAAGTTAAGAAGGCATGCTATACTTGCAGACAGGACCAGCAAAATGAGTACTACGTACGACGCAAACTTCCACTAGCTTGAACATCATGGATTACGGGATGGTCCAGTCAAGCTAAATGCCGAGGAACATGACACGAGATCAATCCTCAGGCTCTCTTGTCAAAGCATGCGAAAGCGGGACAGACACAAATCGGCAAAATGTAGGCTTTGCAGCTTCGAAGCATGCTCGCAGCTTCGTTGATAATATCTGTATGAGCACCAGCTCCCGCCATTATGCTTCTGGCATTGGCGTTGGCCGCCTCTCAGGACTGCTCAGCCTCTCTAGACCTTCCTGAGGAAGATTGCCATGCAGTGAAGCTGGGAGCCTGCAGACTAACCTCTGTCTTGAAAATCTTTCCTCGCAGTCTCTGCGCAATCACACAGAGGTGCTGAAAATGTTCTAACAATGGCTCAGACGCTCAAATGCTAATGCTTGACTTCTTTAAACTTAAAAAGAACCCTAGTAGTGGTGCCAACCTCACATGTCCCTGGCGAGTAACTGTCGTCCGCATCATGCAGCAGTGCTGCCAAGCGAACTGCTTGTTTCCGGCTTTGCAGAATAACACCAGTACTGGCCGCCAGTGCCTGCATGCATTCACGAGCAGGTGTGCACCTCTTGGTGTCTGACTATTTGTTTCAGCATGCTCAGAGCTGAAAGCACGCGCTTCAAACACGAGCACGCCTCAAAAGCTTGTGGTCCCATGCGCATAAGCAAAGACAAAATGTCCATCCACACGGTGATTGGAAGGGAGCGCTTGACAATGCCAGTTCTATGTGGATAGCTTGACGTCATTCTGTCTAATTAGATCACAATCTTCACTGTGCACATGGCAAACTTGGAACATGTCAATTTTACTATCAATAAACAGCCTGGTCTGCGGGCAGCATGTGAATCAAAGAGGTGGACTGTTGGAGGATGGATGGCCGCGCCTTGTTGACATGCTCCAGTACCCGCAAGGCGTGTCCAACTCCGTGAGACTCTGGAACTTCATGCTCGGCGCACAAGTCCTGCGCAAAGCTGTCGCAGGTCAGGTCCAAGGCTGCTACCCAAACATGAAATCTCCTGAAGTCCTTTCCTTGCGGCACTTATGACGGGATCCTCCGCCTCCGCCTGAGATTGTGATGTCCGGCTGGCCACAAAGGCTCCCAGTGCTGATGAGCTGGGCATGTAAGGCGCTGGCTCCAGCCTCTTCGATTTTTGGCTTCTTGCCTGCAGGCTGACGCTTACCTGCAAGCTACGCGAGTTTATCACCGACCTGGTGGCCCGGTTGGTGATGCGGCGCTCGCATCTTCAGGGTCTCGCGCCATGGCAGCACCGAGCTGTCCTAAACGCAGAGAGGTTTTGTGTTCACCAAGGAACATTGGTGTGTTTGATTCCGAGCTTCATCCCTTATAATGTTTGCTGACGCAGCTACACTTGCCACAGACTGCTTGCCTGATGTTGGCAGGATTAGAGCAAGACATGTCAGCTTTGAAGTTGTTCAGCGTTTCTGATTGCTGACCCGTCGGTTGATCACTCGCAGAAAAACGGCCCACAACATGTTGATTGCAGCAGCTAACACTGCTAAAGTTGGCAGTGACCCGATGGATGAATCGACGTCGGACGAGCCAAATTGGAGATTGATTCGGCGTGTGAAAAGATGACGCGAGGCAGCGCCGTCTGCCATACAGCGTAGCACGAATAACACAAAGCATTTTTGGAAGGGTCAATTCATGCTCTGCTGTAGGTGCCTTTTTTGGCGAAACGCTTTCAAGCGTCAGCCACTTTCCAGCAACAACGCCTGGCCATCGTTGGGGTGCTTCTCGCGGACGTCTCGCCAGACCAAGAACCAGCATCATCTCAAACACTTGCACAGCCTGCTTGTTGGAGGGAACCTGAAGGCAGCCTCCACCGTGACGCAAGTCGTGTCGCATCAGCAAGAACGGATCGTTGGTCTGGCTGTGGGCTTGAAGCCGCACGCAGTCGCTGAACTACCGGCAGAACCCGGTTCGAAGCTTTGAGATTGTCATTTGCCTTGGCAGGCCGTGCTCTGCGGCGAAGTGCATGGGTCCGCACATCTTTGTTCGAAGCAGTCATTCTGCAAGAGCTTGTGCAAGAGCTCAGCAGTAAAGTTGTGGTCACCTGGCCCCAAGCCTGCCTGAAGATTTTGCACCCATCTTTCCATTCGCGCATCGGGTCTGGCATGGAGCATCCTCTGCAAGTCACTCAACTTGAACGCTGCCGAGGTGTCTCCCAGGCCCTTCCTGCTGGAGCATCTGGAACTTGGTGAGGTGGGGAGAGACGCATCCTCCTGCAGCAGCCAATGCATTGTTGTCTGCACACGTGTTCGTCAGTATCATACAAAGACTTAGCTGTTGTCAACGAAATCTAACGAGGCTCCAAACTTTTGGCAGTATCAGCAATCATTCCTTCCCCCCTAGCGTGGTGCAGGGGTCTGGAAAGCCTAGCCTCCGGAATACTGCAAGATTTACATCTCTGGATGCACATACGAACCTCTGATGTGTAGGTATTGATTTTGAACCTTTGTCCAGGGAATGGGGGCCATGGATGCGAGTGACCAGGAAGCGCAGCTCGTCCAGCAGCTCCTCTGTGCCTAAGCTCTGGTCAAGCAGGTCGCTTAGGTGGGCTCGGGCATGCTCAGGTATTCTGTGAACCTCCTCGACTCTTATGGATGCTTTCCCATTGATCTTCACCAAAGGGCTTGTGGGTTTTGTGTTTGGTTCATACATCTGGGCACTTGCTGCGTAACAACAAGAAGTTAAAAGGACTTATCTTCACAAGCTTGAACACGTCCAGGGCGCTGAATGACTCAAGGTCCAAGAACAACATCACTACGTTTTTGAAGTCCAGATAACTCTGAGAATGCAAATCGCCAGCAGCAAAGAGTGCCTCTGAAACTTCTTTGCTCAGTCCAGAGGCCAAAGCAGCCTTGCAGAACTGCTTCTTGTTCAGTTGCCCATTTCCTTCTTCGTCCATGCGTCTGAAGAGCAATCGTGCACCCAGCAACATATCTGATCGAAGCCCAGAACCCAGAAGGCTCAAGAGCATGCGATACGTCCAGCTGAGCCGTGCACGCTCTTCGAGACGTTGTGCAAAGCGTGGATGCTGAGGGATCCACAGCCCCCAACCATTGTTTGCATCAGCCTTCAGCATTGCATCATAAGCACTCTTGCATGGTCCATGTGCATCCTGTAGCCATGCTGTTCTTAAAACTGCAATGGCTTCTGGACGGTCTTGCGCATGCCTAGCCATCATGTTCAGTACGACCTGTTGCACGGGCGGCGGGCATGCGGCTTTCAGCCGGTCCAGGTCACGCCAGTCCAGCCCTTTCTCAGATAAAATCCGCTCCTGGACACCACCACGGCTTAACTGATGGTAGCACATCGGCAAGGAGGCACTCTGTAAGTTAAAGAATGGAAGCCAACCCGTAAGCAGCTCAAAAGCCGTCACACCCAGCATGTAGACATCGCTCTTCGAGGAGAGGTTTTCTTTGGCGATGACTTCGGGTGCAATGTAGCGTGGGTCCCCAGGAGCTGCTACCAAAGCAGAGCCAATGCAAACTGTCGTGTGTCCAAAGTCGCAGACGATGCAAAACGGGGAACCATCAGGACGTGTGCCACCAATCAGCACATTTTCGGGCTTCAAATCTCCATGGAGCACGAATTGCCGGTGGCAGTATGCCACGGCACTCACAATCTGCTGCATGGCTCCTGCCGGACTGGTCGCACTTGCGTGTGGAGGACATGCGTTTGGAGTTTGATTGTTTGATGCAGACCACGCTCTGCAACATGCGTGCCCAGCTTCAAAGACTTGAAAACTGTTGAAGTTTTGGACGCCCTGTGCAAGAATCAGAAAGAAACGTCTGAACATCCCCCCGAAAGCTCGCCAAGCGCAGCCGCAAGAACTCAAATGCTTGGGCAACAAAAGTGCACTCAAAGAAATGCGAGATTGTAGAGCCGACATTCCCGAAATTCCCAAGATCCACAAGGCCACAAGGTAGCTGGGCTGCAAGATTACAACAGGGCTGGGTCATGGAACTCATCATGGTTCAGGAGGAAGCCAAAAATGCCCTCAGCTCTTTCGGTGAGGCGGGTACTACAGGCATCGACAGGCTTGTTTCATTTTCAGTTGGAAAAGTGTAATTGCGCTCAAGCTGCGTGCCTGCAAGGCTCGGTTTGCAGAAGGCCTACGATTCTCCTTTGCTTGACCTGTGACCATCACAAAAGAAAAAAGGCACTCTCAAGTGTGAATAGACGCAAGTCCTGCAATCCATGGCCCTCCCTCGCGCGTGTCTGTGTATGTGGAGAGAGTGCCGCCTGGAGCCAGCTCCGTGACGATCAGAACCTCCCGCGGGAACTTCACAACCTCAAATACGCGCAGCAGGTTCGGATGCGCCAGGGCACGAAGCACGCTTACCTCATCGCCCGCTCCTTCTTCCTCGGGATCCAAGCGCTCAAGATGCTTTACGGCCACTTCGCGGCCACTTGAGAGCTCTCTGGCCTGGAAGACCTCACCAAAGTGTCCTGCTCCAATATGCTTCATCTTGGGGTATCTGGACCACACAGCTTCCTCCGGGCAACCTTCAACTTCATGGCAACAAATCGTGTTCCGATGCCTGCCTGCGGTTGCCAGTGTGATGGGACAGAGTCCAAGCAAGGTTTGCTGGAACATTCGAACCAAAGACGTCAAGGTTTTCACGGGCTCCTCAGGCCGCGGCTTGCTTACTGGCTCCTCATAGAGGTGATTGCCGCTCACGCTGACGCTTTCGCAGGGATCTGCTTTCATCCACTCAACGTCTTCAACGTCGGGAGAAAAGGGTGATGTCAATCTTTGCAGGTCGCCTGAGGACACTTCAAGCAAGCCTCCCACTCCAAGCTGCTCCCGCATCCCTTGGATCAACGGCGCAAAGGAGGTTACGTGAGTTTTACCCGTCAGGCTCACTTGCTTCACGTAGGCATCTTGGGCAATTGACAGGAAGAGATGCGGTTCACGCATCAGCAGGGTAAAGCGACGCAAGGAGCTTTTACGCTCTGCAAATTCGGCCTCCAGCATCTGAATATGGCGCGATAGTCGTATTGGCAGATGCTTGCGATTGAAAACGGTGATGGCAAATGGTTTGCTTGCCAGGGGATCCCTCAAGGCATCCCAGAACTCATAGCATGCCTGTGCCCAACAAGTAGACTGCAGGTCAAGGCGTTGCGCCACCTCCAACATGTCACATGCAGCCATACCACTTCTTCCCTTAGCGTGAACTGTCAATGCTGAGTGCCGCAAAGGAGTCAGTTCTTGCACATCGTCATCCACGAACAGTACCTCTCAAGCTCATAAATGATTGCACCTCAAGCATCACTTCTATGTCGCACGACTTGGATCAAGACTTACTTAGCTACCAGTACAGGAACCCTTGCTTTTGCCGCACACTTCCCGCCTGCTCACCGGTGAGGCCATGAAGCTGCTTGTAGCGATGGACAATCTCCGTCTTGGAATCCCACTCACCTTCACGCCACTTGCCCAACATGCTCCACAAGCGGTCAACTTCCTCCGAAGCTCCACTTCCGCTGGCTTCGGTTTCTTGATCATATGCCGTCCGTGTGCCATAAGCAACGCCAATGTTTCCGTAAAGGGCTTCAAAGCAATCCAATAAGCCAACTTCTTGCAGACACTTCCGAGCTACACCAACGTACCCACCTGAAGAGATCTGATTTTGGGGCTGAGGCTAAAACTGTTTCCTTTGCTGAACTCCGGGGTTAGTACTATCTAAGGTTGGGAAAGGCCAAGCCACGAGTAACAAGGATGATCCTGCAGCCACTGCTCAAGAGGCCATCCAGCAGCTTACGAATGGCAGTCACGCGGCTGAATCCACCAAAAGCTTGCTCTATCCATGCAGGACCCAACTCAGCCAAACGACGAAGTTGGCCGCGCTCAGTGAGGGCATGCGGCTCGGCCACAAGGAGGCCCCGCATGGCCATCATGCAGACTTGAGCATCCACCCAGCCCGCAAGAGACTTGAAAACGTGGACCACTGTCAGCGTGAGGTCAAAGTCAAAGAAGACAATTGAGGAGCTTGAAAAGTTCCTCTTTGCCGGAGCTTCGGCAACCTTGCTCGCACCAAATAACTTCTCCAGCATCTGCATCATCCCAGCAAGTCTGTGGAGGCTTGCTCACATGCAGTGTCTGCTGGTTAGGATGTGCACAACGCCTACAACATTGAACTTAGCTTTTCTTACCATCTTCAAAGTGCCTGTCCATGACCTTCACTTGACCCACTTGCTGCGTGCAGTATCCGACCACCTATTTGGAAACATGCTGCGCAAAAGATTCACGAATGACTGATCGCAGGATGCCTCAATTTTCAAAGATGTGCTGCACTTAGCGTGCACTTTGCATGCAAAGTACGGGTCTGTCACGAGTAGCTACGTGCACGAGGAGATGGCCTTTCACCTGCAGCTGCTTGGCAGATAGCCCTCAAATACCGTTGCCCAAGGTACAAGAAAGGCTCATCTCGCATAGGTGAACGGCCGCTGAATTGAAATCTGCAACGGAAAAGCGGGAGGTGACACTCTGGAATCTGCAAGATTGATTGAAGCGCTAGGAGAGCAATGTGACCGTCACGCCCTCGTTCTTCACAACCTCTCACAAGACAGTGCAATGGTCAGTGACTTCTCTAATTTCTCTCCATTATCCGAAGATCGCGCGGTTACACGCGGCATGCTGAGACTCCGCACGCAGGCAAGATGTCCAACGTTGAGTTTGACTGGCTTCTGGGCTGCCTGCACTGCGACAACATCTATCTCATCAAGCTCAGATGAGACGAGTGTGCTCTCTTTCCTGGCTTCGAATGAGTGAGGTGAAACTTCTGAGCAATGGCTGGCATCACATGTCGAGCCGAGCGTTTGCAACATCGTCCCTTCAAGCTAGCACCGCATGCATGATGTGGAACTCTAAAAATGGCAGAAAACCTGCCTAGCATTTCGGCAGCAGCATCTAGAGTGCATTATTTGCCCCAGATGGCTGTTTGAATTCACGTCAGGCATGCAGACCGGGCATGCTCGGGCTACGCGCGGCGGCAGCGGTAGTATGCGCACCATGGCAGTTTGGAGATCCTTCTTGCCTTCGAGCGCCGCGGATCCCTTGGCTCCCGAGCCTCCTCGCTTTTTTCTGCTACGGAGCCTTGCGATAGCAACTCTGGCTGTAGCTCAGCTTTCAGTGCAGAAATTGCTCTCCGCACAGGAGCCACCACTTGACGGACCCTTTCGGCGGCCCTCACTCTTTTGGAACCCTTAGGCTCAAAAGTCTCAGCCCACAACGTCAGCTGTTCGGCAAAGTCTTCTAGAAAAATAGACGAAGCCAAAGCCGCATCCTCCTTTCCTTCCTTTTCGCTTTCCGAAGCTGCACTTGAAAGGCATTGGAAGAGCTCTCGCGCATTGTCTCGCGGGACGTCTACATGCTCTGCGAGGGCATCAAACATTTCAAAGGACAAACTTGGAAGAACCACTGCTTTGCTGGCGCTGACACCACCCTTTTCCAAATCCGGCACTGAAGTGTAAACTTGAAGCTCACACGGCAGAAGCTCGGACACAAGCTCCTCCAGGTGCTGCAAGGCCTCTTGCGCCTCTTGGGCCTCCTTCCGCGTTGCCACGGTCTTCGCCGCTTCCATGACTTCCGGCCACTCCGTCGCCACGCGCCTCCAGAAGTCTTGGAGGCTGATGGCCGGGGCTGCTGCGCGTAGAAAGGACCGCAGTGCCGTTCTAGAGACATCCGCTAGCTGAAGCTCTGGAACTTCACATTTTGCCACACACCGTCCGAGATCGCTCTCGGAGGAGTCTGGGTCGGCGTCTAGAGAACGCAGTGCATCTTGCATGGTTCCTTTCTTGGCCAGGAGTCGTTGCCGAAGGTCACGCCAGGCAAGCTCCGTTGGGATCTCTTCCAGGGCATGTACGAACTGCGACAGCTGAATGGAACCCCGACCACGGTTGTCCTGCACAGCATCACTTCATCTCTGAGCATTACATGGAAACAAGCATCCACATCTGCCAGCACCAGCAATCATCAGTGTCCAGCAGGAGAAAAAGATGCGCAGCCTCGCAAGAGATGCTTCCAGCATTGGCTGCCAAGGCCCCACTGCCACAGGATGCACAGGCTTGCCTGGCTTGCAGGGATCCCAAGCGCCGAAACCGCTTGGGTAAATTCTCTCTTGGAAACCTTGGTGAAGACCATGGTTGCGTGGCATATCCTCTCTTGGCTTTTGGATGAAGGCATGTGCGGCATAGCCACTGGTCCAGGTTCCCGACGCTTCCGTGTAGAGAAGTTGGCGCCGTCCCTGGACTCTGCGCATCCTGAGCCGGGACTATTTAAGCACATCAAGGCAGGCAGCAAGGTGCATCAGAACATGCTAAGCTTACCACTTCCAAACCCGCAAGCATCGCCCACTGCAGAGCTTCCTGCCAGAAACAACCACGGCGACCACAAATCTCAGTGTGAGCCTTTTGCAACTTGTATGAGCAGCCTCCACCCCTCTGAAGGAGCCAAAGCGATCCAGTAGGTTCTGCCGCAGCTGGAATAAGGAAGCGAGATCCTCGGGCCCCACAGCACAGCGCATATATTTGACAAAAATGCACGTCTAAGAAGTATGAACTCAGTACAAACTGGCAAAGCTCAGCATACCAACAAAGCCCAACCTTGCCTCCACCCAGTCCAGCTTGTGATTCAAGCTGGCCACGGGGATTTCTGCGAAGCCGGTGTCCAATGCTGCCTGGCATCAAACTATATTCATAATCTTTATTCTCTCTGAAAGGGCCCTCGGATGTCATGCAGGATCGCTGGGCTGAAAGCAGAGTTAAGGCAGGCGCAAAGAGGCGCGAGGCCAATCGTCGGTTGCCATGCTGCAACAAGGCAGTCACACACCTGCTCAAAGCCAGCAAGTCGAGCTGCTGCGAGCTGCTAAGGGCGGCTGAACCGGCGCGCCACTCGAACTCCGGCTTGCTCAGTGGCGCCAGTGCCGGGCCAAATGCCTGCCAGTTGGCTCGTCCCGTGTCTGCCAGGCTACAAGTTACCTTCAACTAGTGCCTACCTACCTGGCAACTGGAGTGGCGAACGTAAGTGCTTGAGAGAAACTTACTGCTTCTCTGGGGCACAAGTCAATTCACATGAACTTGGGCGGAAAGATGAAGGGCGGAAGCAGCACAGGACACTCTGAAGCCAGAAAAGAGGCATCAGTGGGTGCTGCCATCGAGTGCTAGCAGAAAACAATGTCAACGCAGTCCAGGTCAGGTTCGATTTGACTTTGACTTCGCTCTTTTATCCCGGCGCAGTTCTAGAGCGGACCCAGACAAGGCACTTCCACAAAACCTACGTAAACCCTTGCGCCTGTTGGGAAGAAGGCGGGCGGGCAACCTGTGCCGCTTGCTTCATCGCGCGAAACCTGTCACACCGCTCGCCAGGGCGTGCTCAACGATGCCGTCTGCTCAAATTCGGGCAGCCGACGCCCTGTTGGTGTTCCCGAATCTTCTAACCAGTGTGTCGAAGAATGCCAGAACCTGACGGGAAGTTGCGTAGAGCAGCCAAGCAAGAGGATTTGCATCTCCACGCCTCACTCCGCTTCCGCTCCTCCTCCTCTGAGAGCGGTAGCCCAGCCGAGCTGGGGCTGATGGGGCTGAAAGGGCTCTGCGGCGAGGCCCTCAGCCAAGTGTGTGGACCGCTTCCTCTGCTCACAAACATGTACAAAATTGTACAAAATTGTACAAACCTCAGGTGGGACCCCGGCGTACAGGGGGACAGCACGTCCTGTGCAACATCGTCAGTGGATGAGGCATGTGCGGCCTGATGACTTTGCTTGCCTGATCATGAACGGCTGGAGGTGGCCTTGCGCAAGTGTCCATCTGCTTGCAATTACCAAGCTAATACCGCTTGGCTGCGCACCGCAAGTGTCTTGATGGCGCCGCTGGAAGCAGCGAGCTCAGTACCTTGCTCTAATAACGTTTTCTCAAGGCATCTTTGGAGCTTGGAGCACAATACGATCAAGCCCCGCACGTTGGACAGCATATCGCTTTCGTCAGCTCCGTGCAGGCGCCTTGGGACATGCCTACATGTGCCCAGCATGGTCTGAAAAAAAAAGCTGGGATCCGTGCGGCAGAAAGGGAGATCGCGGCAATGCCTCAGCAACGCCCGCACTTTCGACTCATGACTAAAGCCACCTCCGATTTCTCAGACTTGCCTGTACTCAAAGGAAAGGGGGAAGCTGAGCCAACGGCATCCGCGCTTATCGGAACCACAGGTGCCAAGCAAGGCCCTGCCTGGAACAGCATCACGCATTAAAAAATTGAAACCAAACGTGAACTCGATCACGCAGTAACCTTGCCCCGAAGCTGAAAAACAGGCCTGCGTCCCCGTACTCCGGGCCCAAGGTGGCACCTGAAGGTCAGCTTCTGAAGTGCTCCTTTAGCTCTCCCTCACCGCCAGATATGATCAAACCACTAGAGCGCCAGTGCAGTGATGACTCAGCAGTTTTTGGTATGGCATATGGCAACGATTTGGTTCGTAGCTTCTCGTGAGACAGGGTGTCGCTTGGACCTTGCGGGGACCATGCGGGCAGTTTTCATTCGTCTTAATTAAGACTTTGCTGCCTGCATGGTCCCCAGTTCGTATGCATCGTCCTCGACGTCAGAGGCCCGGCCAAAAGAGCATATTTGCTTGGCAGACCTCTCGAACCCCGCAGGTGCCCATCTTTGGCCCCCTTCCGTAGTCACAATGCGGTCCAGCCGCGGGGAAATGCCTAGATGGCAATATGACTCACCAGCTGAGAAGGGGACACAGAAAAACGCGAGGGACAAAGCCGATAACAAGTGGACGCGTACAGTACTGAGTGCCTGAGGCACTGTAACTTGGCGTGGGCGCCACGTGCTCGCAGCATACATCTGATGAATTTCAGAAGTCTAATTTTACTATTGCCGCTTGATAGCCAATATGCATGCTCCTTTGTTGTGAGACGTGCAGCTGCACTTCACACAGATTTTGCAACGTGCATTCTGCAACGCTGCCGCAATGATCTAAGGTGGCCCTCGTTGCAGCATAGAAAAGTCCTTTGCGAATGACTATCAAAATTCACTTGGCTAAAAAGATCTCTGACAAATCGGATCTGCCAAGAAACGGCTGCATGGTGAGGACCAGCTTAAGTTAACGTAAACGGAAAGCCACACATGTCGCACAGAAAGTTTGTGGACAGCAACGTCATTGTCAAGTGCAGACAAGCACAGGGCAGGGTCGGATAATCCGTCGGCACGATGCCCCCTGCACTGCGCAGATCCATCTCAGCTCCGCATCATCTCCATAAACTCTTGGAAATCAATTTCTCCATCTCCATTAGTGTCAACCTGCTTTAGCAACTCCTTGGTTTGCAGAGGGGTACTGGCAAGCAATGTTGCTATCATGTCTGGCAAAACCAGTTCAGCACGCAGGATCGACTGACACAGGCAAGTTGCTGCCAAATCCTTGCAGGAAAAGAACAGTATTTGACTATGGGCTGTAGGCTGATGCTGCTGGACCCATGCCTTGTGAAACTTGCCCTGCACGTCATCGCTTGCCAACACTTCAGCAAGCCTGTGCAAATCGCGCTTGAGACACGCTAAGGCTCCGAGCACATGACTTGCGGCCACAGCTTGAGGCTTCTGAGACTTCGACTCTTTTTGGCTGATCGTTCCATTGCCATCACGATCGAAAACACGGAAGGCTTGCCAACACGCATCTTCCTCATTACAGCTTGCTGTCAGTGCAAGCCCAGATTCCGTTGCATGATTACGTAACATGCGCTACAGTAGTTTGTGCGGTCCTCCATGTAATGCTTCCTGTCCAGCGTCGCTGCCTGTATGTCAAGACACTCATAAGTGCGGCGGTTTGAGACTGTTCTGAGACGATCGCACCATTTAGACAGGCAAGTGGCAAGGAACTCCGTGTAATCAATGACGCCACTTCCGTCTGCATCAATGCTTTTCATGATCTCCTGTGGACAGAAACATTGCGTAGATAGCCCACAACAAGGCAAAAGCATGCTGTGTGCAGTCCTGCAGATCAGCTGCTATGTCCATCACGCCGCCCTTCTCCAAGCCTCGGGCATAGAGGCTTTCGAGCTCGCGCAGAGCCGGCAACCCTCGTACCAACGCTAGCATTGCATCGTGAGGCCTGCTTTGAGCTCGGCAGCAGTCAGCAGACCATCACCGTTCCTAAGAGTGGCAGCGCCACAACTGTAGAAGGGCAAGCACTGCAGCACAGCAGGCAACCAGGATTGTAAGCCAGGCCACTCGTCCAATGACATGAAGGTCTCCTTGAGGGCCCTTGGCTGGACAAATGTTGATCTGGAAATAAAGGTTCAGCCTAAGCCTGTGACTAAAGCCTTCTAACAACTTGTAGCCAGCTGCTGGATCTGCTTGTCGTCGAGACTACTGGCAATGACTTGCAAGGCAGCTTTCCTTGGAATTTGCAGGTACCCTCCCCATGGGGCCAACACTGCACATGGGGCCAACACTGCAAAGCACCACAAAACTGTAGCAAATGCCGTCGGCAGTCTTGAGCTTATTCTGCGAGAGGAAGCCCCGAAGCTTGTCGACAAATCCGTCCTGAAAGACATAGGCTTGAGTCTAGCAGCATCAGAAAGTCTCCCCAGGAAGTCATCCCGGCTTCAAATTTCTCTGTCCTGCAGGTTTACATCCTTGGCCTTGGGAGCCTTCTCTTTGATCCAAACCTTGGCTAGGCATATGGGAAATCAGACAGAACGACTCACAGCAAGCGCACAACGACGTTGTAAATGCAAGAGGCATCATTCAACGCTTGCTCTGCAGTGTATCGATCCTTTGGATTCATCTGCAGTAGATTCTTGATCCTGGGTATGATGCGGGATCTCACCGCATTCACGGTCCAAATGTGGCTTGCACAACGGACCTTACTTGCAGTCTTGCCAGGGCACAATGCCTTCGCATCGTCTGATACATTTTTCCTAAGCCGCAGATGCCAGGGCAGGCTTATACACAGAGGTGTCTGAAAACTGATTCCATGGTGGCCTTGTAAATGTATCTCAGTTCCTTCTATCTGCGATGTCTTCTGCTGCAGGGAGCGGTTACGTTGTACGAGTAGTGAGCGAAAAAGTGCCAAGTGACCAGTCAGCCGGCTGGAATTTAACTTTTCCTTGACGTACCTCAAAGCGCTGCAGTGTGCAGTTAGACGACTGCATGCACACACTGCCTTGGCAGCATCCGCACTTTACCGGCCTCATCAAGAACCTCCTGGTCTGAGTCTCCATAGAAAGGAGGATAGCCGCAAAGCATGACATACCTGAAGACTGATTGGCATACGATCATCTGGTACTAGTACGACGTAAGACCAGCCACATGGATCCGCGTACATGCAACATGAATGGCATGAACACCGAGCCACATGATGACACCCAGACTCCACATATCAGCCATGTGGTCATACTTTCCTGCCAGGACCTGCAAGTAAAGCAAATGGGCACATGTTCTTCAAGGCTTCCTACAGTGCTAGTACCAATGATCCGAACAAGTCCATTCCACCTGTGGCGCCACGTAGTACGGGGTGCCAGCTTTTGTCTGCAACACCTGGCCGCAAGCAAAGCCTCTCATCTGCCTCCGCTGCCTCATGATACCGAACATCCCTCCTTGCACACCGGTTCTTCTGAAGCATTATAAGGATCCTGTCAGGGCTTTCGTTGCTCCCAGCCTGATCTGGCGCAAATTCTCGCGCCAAACCGAAGTCAATCAACTTCAGCGTGCTTTTTTCGATGGCTTCCTGGCCCATCAGCGTAGCAAAAACTAAAGCCAATCCAATACACTGCAGAATCCCTCCTTGGTTGTGAAGATAAAATTTTCAGGCTTGAGATCGCGATGTGTGTAGTGCGACCTGATGCGAGGTTGATGCGATCTTTGCTTTTTAGTTGGCGTCAGACGGATGCACGCTCTCGTGCGTTTCCGGACTTTTGGCCAGTGGCTGGTGCATGTAGTAGATAGCCCGGAACATGTTCCTGTCAGCAGAGCCAATTGACAAAGGCTTGCGCGACTTACAATGCAATCTGGCCGAGCTTGAATTCAGGCCCACTGTGTTGCAAATGTTCTACAGCTCAGCACGCACGCCACGCACTCTGCAGTGAGCTTCCATGCATCTTGCGGCAAAGAGTCTGCATCAGCAGTGCTGCCTGCCAGAGAAACGTTGGCAATGCTACCACTACCTTCGGGAAAATCTAGATGCACAAGACTCTTGGCTCCTGCCTGCTTCTCGGTGAGATGGCCGTACTCGATAATTCGATCGAATAGCTCACCACCGGTGCACAACTCAAGCACCAGGTAGATGTTGCCTAAACCACGCACACAGAGTTCTTGCTTGGACGTGTTTGGACTTCCATGATTCTGGGACAAATGGGAATTGTCATCCTCTGCTGACGTATCAGAACAAGCAGCGATGATCTTGGAACGACTCATAGAGCTTACAAATGTTGGGGTGGTCCAGGATCTTCATGATCTGAATCTCCTGCAACAAGGGCAGTAAGCAAGCAGGCATGGCTACCATGGCAAGACAAGTTCGGACCTGGCCTTTCTGAATGCTTCAGGACCTCAGCAAAAAACAGTTCACAAGGGCCTGAGACTGCATGTGATGAAAGCTGGCAGAATCAAGAGCTAAGTCAAAAGCTCTTGAGGGCTGCCTTGTTTATGGTCTTGATGGCACGCATGGCTTTGGTGGCCTGCAAGATACCACAACAACATGCAACAGCGCCAACTGCCAGGCGCCATGGAGTGTGCATTGCATCGTCAAGACCAAATGGTTGAAAGGTCCTTGTTTCGTGCTTTGCAAACAGATCCATATGAGCCCTCGCCGATCTTCTTCTTGTCAATGTCATAAAACTGCGTGATCTTGCCCTGAGCGTTGCACACGCTTCCGCTTCTGTCCATGCTCAAAGCTGCATAGTAGGCGCTTGCACACAAACAACATGTTCAGCTAGAAGCAGCTAGAAGCTCTACAGACGCCTCATACCTCATACATCCTCACACGATGCAGAATGAGATCTGGGGAGCACACCTGGTTATCAACAATAAGGCTTGAGGACGCGAAGCCTGACACGTGAGCACGGGCTCAGAGGCTTCGTCTTAGCAGCGCGGCTTTCTGTCAGAAGCCTGTCGTTGACTTCTTCCCGCTGCCAGAACCAGAGTCCTCAGGCCGCACAGAATGAACAGACTGTTTACACAATTCTTGTTCATGCTACATCCGGTCGTCCTTGCCGCCTGTAGCGGAAGCGCCGCAACCCATGGCTGCAGACACCGGTGAAACCTGGGCGTGGCCTTCAAAGGAGCCTGAGGCGTGGTTCCCGATAAGAAATTCTGGAGTTGCCAGTGAAACTGTGCCTCAGGACCCTGGACCAACTGACGGCCGTGGGCAACACAGTCAAACAACAAATGTGTTGAGCCCGGGCTGTGGCAAAGTTGAAACAAATTGCCAACCACACTCAACAAATACGTCAAATACTATACCTCAGTCTGTAAAAAGGAGCTAGCAAGTGTCAAGAAGTCATGCGGCGGAAGACTCAGGATCTGCAAGGTGCTTGGTGTCTCGCCCACTTGGGTGGTGTGGGCAGGCGAGGTGGCAGGCCAGCAAGGCCTCGTCCCGAACACTCCACAGGTCAGGATTTCTAAATGAGAAAGGTCAGCTTGTCACAAGAAAAACTGCACAGGGTCTCTCACGACGAAACTCTCGCTCGAACTCCCCGAGCGCATCCTCTGAAAAGTCGCGGTCCTGATTCGAGGAATGCCAACTGAAGTCGCGCAGTGCTGACAGTGCTCGCTTTGCCAGCTGCCTCACTGTTCTTTGCATCCGTGTCCGAGACGAAGATGCGATCTTAAATTGATTCATGCTTCTCTGCATGCTTTTTGGGGGATGCTGAGACGCAAGCAACCTTGAGAAGTGGACCTGTCTGTGCTATCCGGAAGGGGCTTCTTTCTTCGCAGCTTGCTCGTAGAACTCTCCCAGCCTGGGGCCTATAGCTGGGCTCGTCATTCGCCTGGAGTTCGGTGAGCCAAAACGCATTGCGTCAATCGGCTGCCCGGTGCCTCTGAGTACGCAGTGGCTTGGCTGTCGCCTGCCAGCGAGGCAATCGTACCCCAGGCGCCAGTCACTGGACAACAAACATTGTGTCCTCGGCTTTGGAAGACACGACTGCAGGAAGCGTCTTCCTGCGCTGGTAACCTAGCAGCATGTAGCGGCAGAGGCTGCAAAAAATGCTCTTGGCCTGCCTTGCCTGGCTTGGCTTGTAGTCTCTCGGGTGGTTTGACCTCCTGAAGCTGTCCAAATGCTACAACTCATGCGGCTTGCGACACTTGTGTTGTGGGACGACACGGCAATCTGTGATTGGCAACGGCTCAGCACAGGGACTTTCAAAAGGCGCGGAAAAGTTCGCAGTGAAAGCTTTTAACTGGATACTTGCTTTAATTTGGAGCATGTCAAGCATTTGACACAGACGGTAATCGCTGCACTTAGCAAACTGGGGGAGGGATGGCAGCCGGGTAGTGAAGCAAAAAATCACGGGCGGGAGAATGTGTGCGAGGTAGGTGTTCGAAAGGCGCTCGCTCGTACGGCTGCTAGCGCCCCCCCATTTGTGCACACACAGGCCTTTGTGTTGCCAGGAGAGCACATCAAGTTGCTTCGGCATCCTTGCCTTCATTCCCAAAGGCATTGTGCTCTTTTGCAGCCAGCGCTGGTCAAGCCTGAGCAACCGTTCATGGTGGCTCTTGCAGAGGAAACGAGGCGTTAAGGCAAAGACACAAGCTTGGGGCCACTTCTCTGCTGCCGCCAGCCACTTCCCCTTGAGCCACTCCGGCTGCAAAGGGAGCTGCGTCAAGCCATACGAAAAACATGAGTGAACCAAATCTGGCGGTCATGCAAGATTGTCAGTCTCAACCGTGGAAGAGGATAGCCACAGCAATAAGACTTAGCCTTGTCGCCGGGCTACCGAAGAAAGATGATGAACCCGCCCGGACCCCCTAAGCGCGCGTAAACAAGGGGAAAAAAACACCCTTTAAGGGAGAAAAAAAACGCTATTGAACCAATAGTTTCACAAGCGACTGTCATCCTCATACCTAATGCGGCAACACTGCTTGCAGGAAAGCACAAGTGCGGGCCTGACTGAGGCTGAGCAACCTCGCACCGAAGTTTAGCTCCGCGCTGGACGCTGGCCTCCTGGCGGTGCACAAATGTCGCACCCTCCAAAAGCCCCAGTGTGGAGGGGGCACCCTGTCAAGTCTGGCCAGCCAGAATCTGTACATTCCCAGATGTTGAAACTGCAAACCTGTGGCAACGTCCAGGATCTGACCAATCACAGTTCTTGCAGGACAGGCGCGACCTGATTTGTCAAATCAATCGCCTGAGCGGAGAGTCAGTTGCTTGCAAGCTCTCAACACCTGCACCCTTGCTCAGCGCGGTGCCATTTCAACACAATCGCCAAGTTCCAAAGGCTTTACAAATGCCGACGCCCTGCTGGCTTCCGGACTCATCATTTGCAGGTTGAGCTGCTTTCTGCGGGTGCACTTCTTGCCTCTCGAGTTCCGTGAAAGCACGCATGCAAATGCGCCCACGTTGATTCACCTGCCACATACAATTTGCGATCGCAAGCTAATTAGCCTGGACTCCCTCATGTCCTGGGAGCTGGGCAAAAATCGAGACTATCCTCTGGATGTTCTTGGCACCTGGAGCCGCTGGAGCTGCTGGCGCTCTGGGGTGGTGGGATCTCAGACTTTGAAGGCTGCAGAATGCAGACAAGGCACAGGGCAAGCGCTGCGAAAAAACGAATCCAACTCCATCGGCTCGGCTCAGTTCACCAGAGGTGAACTGCACAGAGTTTAAGGTATCGGCACAAACCATGTAAACTGACAACATTTGCATGACCGCACCTGCACCAAATATCTTTGGAGCCCATCTTGATGCACTTGTGATTCAGAGACGACTGACAGGCGGCCTTCGTATCCCACCTGCTCACAGAATCCTGAAGAAACTCCACAAATATCACGCGAAGTTATGCAGGGCCTTGGTGAACTGGCGAAAATCCGGCTGAACGATGCCCATGCCCTTCGTCTCCTGGTGATGCCAAGTAAGATTTGTGCGGCTCCACCTGCTTCGGCAGAGGAGAGCAAGGGCTTTTGACGGTGCCGGGATACAGGTGAGCAGGGTCTCGAGTGCCAAGAGCTGTAAAGCACACATACCTGTGGCTACAACTACCGAGGAGCCCAACCTCTCTGGGTTCAGAGGCGCTCAGTAAAATTTAGCATCTGCTGCTCTGCTTCTCTTGCAGAAAACCCTGCAAGGCCAGCAGCTGAAAATGCTGCCTGCAGGGACAGCACTGGGCAACGTTCCAGAACGTTTCACGCACGAAACGGCTAGGAAACCGTAATGACTCATGCTTTCGGCAAGTGCCCTGAACGCCACTTCTCAAGCCATCACTCCACCCCTAAATTAATGGAAGTGGACAGACAGCGAGAGTTGACAAAGGATGGAAGAAGTTGACTGACTAAAAATCATCATTCCGCGCCAAAGCCTGGCGGTTCAGAAAAGAGCCTAGAGTGGAGCCCACCAGCCAAATTTCGACATTCCTGGCACGCTTGATGCCCAATCGTAGTCATGGTAGTCACAGAAAGAACCAAACTTAGTAGTGCCTCGAACAAGGCCCGCGTTCGAAATCCCCACTGCTGGTCTGGGTTCAGCACCCTCCGGCTCAAGGTGATTAAATAATCTTTGCTGAAAACTTCGGCAGCTCTTCAGAAGCTGTCAAACAACACTTCTTAAAACTATGTCTTGTAGTACAGTTGTGGGGGCAATCTGGTACATCACCGCTGAGGATCACGAGTGGCAGGATCTATGGCGCAGGTCATTGTTGAGACCATCCACCAACCTTCCCAAACATGGTCGAAAGCCGAGCTTCACTGAGAGGCTTGGCCGTCAGGTGCGAAAGCTGTCACGGAGGAGCAACCAAATCTAAACAGCTTTGAAGCTTGATCAGTCTTGATAAATCCTCAGCTTTCTCACGATCCTGAAGTCCATTCCTGAGGAGTACTTACTCTGGCTGGCTTGTTCGCCCTCATTCCCTCTTTCGATCACGCTTCGGTCGCATGACCCATGTTTAGAAGACGTGTGGCAGTGTTGCAGTAGCAACGAGTGATCGAAGCGGGAGCACGGGGGACCTTTTCAGCTACTAAAAATTCCGATCAGAGCGCAACCTCCAGTTGCGCAAGTCAACGTGCGGAGCCATGGAGCGCAAGCGCGGAAGAAGTCCAAAAACACGATCTGGAAAGCTCTTGGCAGACTGCCGCGATCAGGGTTCCTTCTGCGTGCAAAAGGTCTGCCTGTCTTGGGCCATGAGCCTCAACGAGGCAGCAATGATTCGGAGCTTGCAAGACAGATAACCCATTATGTGCTCCGAGGGGCTTGACAGCCGTGCGCATGTCCAGCACACACACACGGTCTTGCAGCAGATCTAGCCTTCAATGCTGATGCTGCAAGCCCCTTTGGCGCACAAATCCTAATGCAGCCAAGCCACACTCCACAGTGAGAGCCCATGTGGTCCTGCATAAGTACATCTTTTTGCAATGCCCATCTGGTACTGCGACAGTTCGAAACTGTGCCCTTAGGCCCTAGGCCCTTGGCCCAACCTCGGCCAGCGCTATGTCAAGAGCCGTGCGACCGCCTTCCCGGACAACATGACAGCTCACGCTTGCCAGCCATGCTATGCTGCACAACCAGCACGAAAACCACCTGACGTTCGCTGGTCGCGATCTGCTCCCTCATCAAGGAGAATTCGGACCTGGTAAATGATGCAAGCCTTGCATCTGATACACAACATGATGACTGTCGAGCAGAGGCATGAACCCTGGTTCTAGCGAGAACCGATCCTACTCTTTTGGTGCTTAAACTGTTGTCAAAATGTCAAGATTTGTCAAGCCTCGGCCTGCCCTGGCCTGCCCTGGCCCGGCTCGTGTCCCGGCAGTCTGTCGTTTCCAGTACACGAGCTTTCGGGTACGTCAACCCTTTCAAGGCCCCTGGCGCCGCGAGGCGCCGCATGACATGCTTGTTGTGTGCCCCTTTGCCAACAAGGGCTCAGAGAATGACCTCTCTCGGCAAATCAACGTATCTTTGGTACTCCTTGCCGGATCAGCCCCAGCAAGCCTCATCCAAGGCTCTGCCTAAGGCCGTAGAGCGGTTGCCAGCAGGATTGGCCAACGCTCACTCAGGCATCGTGAAGACTCCGGGCGTCAAGCACCCTGTTGGATCGCTCCGCTTGGAAGCAGAAGGCACTTAACCCGTGCGATGTTAACAACAACAACCTGATCCATGAAACCAGGACGGCAGTCGTGCTTGCGATTTCATCAGTGGCTAAGGACCAGAGAGGGGAAGTTTTGTGTTCAGGCTTGGATCTGCGGCTTTGGAGAGTTGGGGACTGCTGAACACTGCATTGGGCTCAGGGCCCTTACCGAGCTGCTTGAACTTAACAATGCTTAATGAAACGTCTGCCATGTCGAGCCAGTTTGACGTGTGCCACATGCATGATTTGTAGGCTGTATTCACTAGTCTAGTTGCAAAAGCCGTGAATCCACCAAAAGCAGCTGGCCAAAGGACCCATCCTCTGCAACAACTGCATCTGCAGCCGAGTTGCTAATTCCGTGTGGCCCATGCGTGCAGCGACGTGGAGCGGATACACAGTCTCTGCTCTCCTGCAGTAAACGGAGCACACTCCAACCATGACCATAACCCGCCAAGCGACAAATCAATACGATGCACCAGCAAATTCGACACAAAACACTGTTAGACTTAGAGGTAGAAACTAAACGACACAAGCGAACGTCAGCGATATCGTCTGCAAATGCTTCTAGTGGCTAACTCTTTCAAGCTTAGTCCACAACGAACTCCCATCCAGAGTTCCTTGCTAGCTGGTATTACAATGATCCATGGCCACGAAGTACATGGGCATGCAGTGAACCACTGGCAAATGGCGTACATGCTGATGTGACCTGCACACGTTTGCCCATCACTTTTTTAAAGAGGCCATCCCCCGTCCGCTTCATACCTTGCTAGATGTACAAAGACAGATTTGGATGTCAGCTCTTTAAGCTTTCTGCCTGCTTATAGGGAACTGATTGGTTGCCTGCTGTGGGTCTGAAAACTTGCGGCACTCCAACATTCCTTTCCAGAACATAAGCAAGCACGCGTTGGAAGGATGAATGTGGCATCCCCTCTTGTCAGCTCCATGATTATGCTCACTCTTATCAGTTGACTATTCGCTGCTGCACCGTCTACCCTGCCCCTTCACCCCGTAGCCATGCAACGTGTTTTTGAAGCTACATGCTTCACATGACACATCCTCTTTGGAACTGTTCTGTGGCGAGTGGAACTGCACAGGATCACACAAGATATACGGTATCTCCAGCGTGAAGTGAGACAATCAATGACACACAGCAAAACTTGCAGAGAATCAACAGACAGCATGAGAAGAAAAAATGATCAACACCCAAGTGGTAGCTGCCAAAGACTGTCCTGCCACGGCGAAGCCAATAAGACTTTGCAATAACAGCAACATGTCAAAACATAGACTGCCATTAAAAGCATAACTAGAAATGTTGGTAGCAAAGGCGGAGGCCTCAAACTTCAATCTTAGATACAGAAGAACTGACAAGAAGGCAGACAGAGACAAATTCTAGCTGACCATTCAGCGACATGGATCACTCATGGAAACGTGACAAGCAAAGCAATTGAACCGTAGACGTGAGTTATCCCTGTTCTCCACACATCAGATGTCTGCAGTTCAATGTCCATTCCCCCTGGGGGCCGGACTTAAAAAAGCACAGGAATGAAGAGGGCAACCGCGGCTCACCTGACAACGAACACGATTCACAGTCTACTCAAGCCCAGCGCACAAAGGGGAAATCTGAAGCCCTGCAGACAAAGATCCGCACCCCTGCTGCAAGCAACGCAGATCTTTGGAGGTTTTCCAGCACACGGCGTATTGAGGCAAGCATCTGATGTCACGGCTAAATCGATGCTTCTGGAGAAACTCGTTCAACAACTCCTGCAACTCACCCAAACTCAAAACGCTGCGAGCAACATGCACAATAAAGCCCCAGAACATGTTGTCAAGGAAGGCAGAAAACTAAAAAGCTTCCCAATCAAAACGAAGACGGAACAACACTGTCGAAATAAGAATGCCGCAGAAAATAAAGCTCTGAGATACGTTCAACCACTCCCGGCATTCTTGCCCAGCACCAATGGCCAAAGCTCCTGTCGCCTGGCTTTGCGCAAGCGTCCCCGCAGCCAAGCCTTGTCGGCGCGCCTTTTTGCAAAGATCTCAATTCAGAGGTGCTGCAATAGGCTGAGCACTGTGCAGAAGTTCTGGCCTCGCAGTCGCATCTCGAGTGGCCTCGCGCATGTTGAATTAAAGATCGTCACGTCAGGCAAGTAGCAAGTCGACGTGCCTGGGAGTTTTCGGACGAGTATGCAGTAGAGATGGATCTCGATGGCACCGTCGTAGCCGTTGTGTTTGTGGATCCAGTTCCGGTGGCCTAGCGAGAACGGACAGGGAAACCCCAGGCCCAACGCAGTAATTTGGACTTCCTCAACCAGGCAGGTCGAGCATAGTTGAAACGCCAGGTTGACACACTGTGACGGCCGGCCAAGGCTCATCCCAAATGGCTTCGGCAAATTGGGATTTGCTTGCAGATACCTTCTACAGCCGCCTCGCTGTCGAACGTCAGGTTGATGCGCCCAGACGACAGCCGGCGGTAATCCTGCGGTCGGTAAAATCTTCTAACATGTGATCTATACCAGTCAGAGATTTGTGTGACGTCATGTTTGGTTGGTCCCGAAGGTCATCTTCCGTCAGGTCGTCTAAGCATAGCCGCCTGTCCCAAGACAGGCGTCCTCCCTCACTGTCAGGTGTCGGGTCTCGTGCCTCGAACTCGTCGGCTTCTTATTAGTGTCCTGCTATGCAGGCCATACCAGGGAGTCAAGCTGCTTGCGCAAAAGAATCCAGTGGCGCCTTGTCCTCAAGCGAAGCCTGTCCCGGGTGATATGATGTTTACCAAATGCACCGTACCATCGACAACAGGTTTGGCCTTCATCGCCTGGCCTACACATGTAACGCGCTACATTGAGCCGAAAGCCCGAAAGAGTTGAATCAAATACAGCTTCAAGCTCCATCATCCAGACAAGAATCATCGGCAGCTGATGTCAATGGCCAAGCTTGGGTCCTGATGAAAGCTGTGTCGGCGGCCCAAGGGTGGTCTGCCGTCCAGCCTCAGACCCCGAGGCCAAGCACAGTGCAGTGTAACTGTGTAGACTGGAGCATACATAGCATACCTGCTTCCGTGTCGGCAAAAGTGCTCGAAATAGCATGCCACACCGGCGTCTGCGTGATTCTGCTCCAGTGAACCCAGATTTAGCTTGTTTGATTTGCCAACCCCAGATTGCAGGGGAACAGTCAATGGAGCTGAAGCACTTTGTTTTGCATCGGCGGCAACGAGTCGACGCTTCCTCCTTTATTCCCCCGCATTCCCCCGCCCGACGACTTTTCGAGAAAACGATCTTGGCGCTTCTATTTGTCCGAAAATTATGGCAATTTCCGGAAATCGACTGCAAACGCGTAGAGACCCTGTGATCATCTAGGCTCGTCCAGAGGCGTTTCGCATTATCTCCATTGCCCAGCACGAATATGTTTGGATAAATAGATTTGGGGTTGCGAGGACCACTCAAAAAAAGCTTTGGTCATGGGGGGTCGCAAGCTTCAGGAGCCTCACTGCAACCAAGGCTCCACATCTTGGGTTGCGGGGTGTCCATCTTGTCTGAATGGAATTTAAAACCCTGTGTGTCACTGGGAGTCAGCTCCATACTCATAGCTTGTTTAGCTGATCAAGCTGACTGAGCTGAGAGCTGTGGGATGAGCGAACCTAGAGGTAGTCCCACATCCTGAACCTGATCCGATTTCATGAAGGCCTTGCCGTCATCCTGCCACTCCTCCCACAGTAGCAGGTGCAGAAGGGGTAAGACAGCTCGAATAACGGCTTGCCGTCAACAGTCGGGCACCCTGTCCTGTCTGAGTGGCTGGGCCCGCTGAGCCAAGGAGGGATGCATGCAAGGCTGGGTCACCTGGGCTAGAGCCTCAGCTGAAGCCTGAGCGAAGGTCTTAGAGGCGACTACCTTTGCTGCTTCTGCTGCCTTGGCCGAGATTTCAAGTTCCAAGGCAGCTTGGGCCGCAGAAAGTCGCGCTGCTGCCGCTGCTGTCTGTGCGGCAGTCTGTGCTGTGTGGGCCGAGGCTGTTCGGGCCGTGAGATTGTCAAGGCTCCACCTTGGCTGGAGAACTTCCGCTCCCACATCCAAACATATCCAAACCATGCAAACAGACAAACAGATACAGACCAGGCCACGAAGGCATTGGAGGAGCAATCGGAGCATGTGGAATTGGCGGCGCAATAGGGGGCTGCAAAGGGTACCTCAGCTTCAGGGCCCTACCACAGTCTTTGACACAGTCTTCACAGGTACATGCAAGTGGGATGCGTCCATGGTGGCTGCGGAAGGCCCATGGACCTCAGTACACAGGCAGAAGGCGACCCCTCTGGTTTGTACTCCGCACGGAGTTAGATGACTGCAGACGTAAACTGCACGGGAGCACACTGAAGTAAGGCAAGAGCAGACCCCACGGAGGCACCCCAGCCATGGCAGCAGCGAAGCTTTCATCCTTTGGGGTTAAATAAAAGTCAGACCAAAAAGCGACTCCAAGAAACGATTCGGATTGCCTCTCCGCCGCCTGTCAACAATCGCTGCAGGGACTCGCCTGCTTTGCAATCAGCTCCAAGCTGTGCTCTCAAAAGGCCGCCAAAAATATGTTTGGGGCGATTGCAGACGTAGCCTTTTAAGTGGCATTTACAACTATGGAAGCAACACTGTTGCCGTTCTGCTGTCTCGCCTCTTGCAACCCCTCTCACCCTGGGACCCTTGGCACTCTACGGATGTCCACAGTCCCAGATTCCTTGGTGTTGAAGTTAACTTCCGCAAGTGTACATAATCTGGTGGTATTGGGCTGGGGCTCGCAGTCCGTGTTGTCTTCCTGAATCCTTTAGCCGTCAGCCCGGCACGGTCAAACTTATGTTGCAAGGTTGTCTGCCTGATCATGACACTCTTCAATCAGGAGCCGCACTCATCCAATTGCTTTACCAACCTCCCACCCAAGTGGCATGTACAGAGGCTTCACTAAGAAGCGGTGTCTCCCTTCTGCCCATACATCACAGACATAACAAAATTCTTCACCTTACACATCCATGCGGGCAACAGTCTGCACCAAAAAACAGATCCATCAGGGACATGAAGTGGACCGTTGTATGTTTTGGTACCTTCCATCCTCTCACTCGCTTGCGAGATGCCCCAACTTGAGTTCCACTTAAGTTTTGAAGAATATTATAGTGTGAGCTTGTGATGACTTGTGGTTTCACGCTTTCTGCGGATCTGGTTCTGGAAAAAGCTTTGGATCAGAAACGAGAGACTTGCGAATTGTTTGAGGGCAGTTCGATCGACCCAAATCAAGACTTTGGGAGCTGATTTTGGCCGCATGCCATGAAGCTGAGCCTGCTGAGGCAGCCGAGAGCGTGCGGCCAACATTGGCCAAAGCCTGACTGAATGCGAAAACAGAGGTCCTGTTGATAATCATTATCATCATCATCATCATCATCATTCTTTTGATTGTTCCTCTAACTACAATGATCCTCAGTAAATTCAACTCCTACAGAATCCCTATGTAACCCCTATATAGCCCCTACATAATGGTATTTTCGGGACCTCTCGTCCCAAAACCAAGGCCCTGACTGGCTGTCCCATACTGCGCGTTCGAGCCAGAGGCTCATCCTGCACCCCGGCCGTTGGGGACCCAAAAAATCCACAAGTATTACATATGCGGATATTGTAGGGATTGTACATCAATGCACGTATAACTCTGTAGGGTTGTATGAACATTTTTCGGGTTTCACAGGGAGATTACAAATCCAATCATAGCCTCGAGTGGAAAATCGCGTGGAAAACTAAATAGAGACTGGGCTTATATATTGGTTTGTAAGGGACTGAGATCAGACAAGGGAAGCGAAACATCTCAGGCTCCTCGTCCTCCAGCGGCCTACGATGAAAGGCCTTCCAACGCATTATCTTGCTTCGATTCTCACATTCAAGCATGCAAAATCATGCAGACATTCTGCTGCAACTGAGACAAACACTGGATGAGGAAGGTCATGGATGGGCGCCTCTTCGTCCTCCTCCTCTTCCTGAACAAATAAAAGCAGGTGACTGGCCATGTTTCGCAGCAAGATATTCTTCCAGCCTCTGCTATTCCTGCTCGCGGCACTATCCTTCAAACGGAAACTTCCCACCGCATGGTTATTCTTCAGTTGATATGCTGGCACTGGCCTATCCAGATTTAGCACCTGCTTGGAGTATCCACCAGTTGGATCAGATCGAGTCCTCGCAACATTTGCACATGGGATCCGAATCTCGTGAGCCAGGTGCGGCTGCAAAGCAAAAAACCGTCCGATTCAAAGGGCTGTCATCCACAACGATGCCTTCAGGTTCCTGGTTCCAAGTCAAGTCTCCAGGGAGGGCACTTCATTCAGGGAGGAAGCCCTGTGACGACATGTCGGTTCAGATTTGCAGCAGTTGCGAACTTTTAGGAATTCTGTTTGAGCTTCAGATGAACTGACACTCTACACAGCCTGACACTGCACCAGCAAAGGAAGAAATTTGGGAGCAGACTGTCACTGCATCAATGAAAGTATTTCGCACCTCAGGCTTCAATTTCAGAACCACCAGCACTAAGCTCCCTTCCGTCAGTGCGCAGCAGTGATAACAACCTGGCGTGCTTGGGCATGACTTGGCTGCACACCACGATGTTGAAAGGCTCAACCGACATTGCAGGCAGGCAGAAAGTATTGCATGTATAGGTTCATGCACGTTGAAAGGCTCCTTGCTGTTTACTGAATATGCTTTCCAGCGCAATTGGTATGCCTCCAAAAGGTCAAGAATCAATTGTTGCTGCTGTTGCTTTGGCTTTTACGCACATCCATTTTGAAATCCGTACCTGGCAGATGCGCAAAGAAGTTTTTCCATCAGCTAGGTATGGGTGGCACAGAACATGGATCAAATTGCATGTGGCAAACCAGCGGTTGCTCGCTTTCGGACACTTTGGGACTTTGTGCCCAACGCACGAATTTCCCTACCAAGCAGGGTCAGGCTTCGCTGCGTGCTATCAGCGAAACTGCTTGGCTATCCTACGACCTGATCCTTTGCCAGGGTTGGGGGAGGCGCCAGAACCGGCCTGCATTTGCTACACTAGGCAAGATGCCTGTGTGTAGTTATGGTGTATCAGTGGCGTATCTGTCAGCCTAAGCAATCACATGCCTCCGGCTCTGACCTGAATGACAGGACCAAGCATCGGCTTGGCTGCCAGGTCAATCGAGCTAGAGATCTAGAGATCTAGAGCGGTGATGGGCTGCCATTCAAAGCCGCCTGCACGCATCTTTGTGCGTTCATTTCACATAGACTCAGCTTGTCCATGCTGCAAACATATTATCAAAAAGGATCTACAGTTGACCATCCATTGACAGTCCAAAAACATCGAACAAGCATGAATCAGCAGTTCCATTCAGTAAAATACTGAGCAAGGAATGCGTCAGCAGCTGGACGTGACGGATGCCTTTAGCATCCAGCACTACAAAGTACAAGTTCTGCAGAAGGACAGAACTCAAACAGCATTTCCTGCTGGTGGTTCAGACGTGTTTTGCGCTGCAGCTTCCTGCTTCGTGTACCATGGGTGAGAAGCATATCTTGTCATGCTGGCATGCCGCCATGCCTGGTTGGGAGCTGAGGGAGAACCAGGCTGTTGCCCGTCCTCTCGATAAGCCTCCCAATCCATGAAATCTGTAGCCGAACCTGACACACCTGAAAAAAATGGCACCTCTGAGATCCAGCGGATGCGGCTGCCGTCCTCCAAATTGTCAAAAAGGCTAAACACATGCAAAGGCTTCGGTCAAGCCCACGCTTGGGAGCCTTCCACTCGCCACGGCGATAATCACCCTTCGCTGTCTTGAAGACACCGATGCCATGCTGTTTTCCATCCTCGCGGGCCGAATGTGGCTTATAGCAACGAAAGGCAAGCGGATACGCTGCGACTCCTTCCAATCACCAACGTACTCCCTCCCATCTGGCCACGTGAAAACTCCGTGTCCATCCTGCTCAAAGCAACGGCGGCTGCTTCAAATGAACCTCTCCTTCACTGGCCCAGCATGATGATGCCTTTATCAAAAACCCTAGCATGCAAGCATCTGATGATTCCTTTATCAAAAACCCTAGCATGCAAGCATCTGCAGCCTTTCTGTCATGCATGTAGCTTCCAATGTACCTCAGGGGATTGCAGTTATCAAAGCAATGAGCCCTGCAGTCTGGCTGGGTCCCAACTTCCTGCCGTCTCTCCAGGTGAAGGTCCCTTGGCCACTCATCCTGACAAATTGAACATGTTCTTGCGGCAAACACCACAGAGACATCGTGCATATGCAGGTCCTGTTGTTTGCCCATTGCCCGCAGTAGACACGTCCATCATTCCAGAAGTACCTGCAAACCAGCCCCCTAAAAGACTGAGCTCTTCCTGTCGCAGCCAAGCACTCTGGCAGCGCACGTGCCCTGGCCGTGTATTTCGTTGTTCTGGAACTCACCCTCATACCTGGAAAATTCTTGGCTTCACAAGGTCTGTGGCAGACTTCACGTTTGGATTAACTGAGGGCATGGCGAGGAGCCCTCCGGCCAGGTGAAGGTCCCGTGCCCGTGCTTCTTGCCGGCGCGGTACCTCTCCCACTCATCTAAGGTTGATCAGGTCTCTGGCCTGTGTTCCGTTGCTATGACATGTATTTGTGATAAATGTCCGAATGCAGGCAAAGGACTGGCCCTCGAAGCGGGAGTTGTCTGCCTTACGATCCGCGGCATGCCATGTCTTAAGGGTAGGCGCGCCACTGGACGGGTCAGGACGCACACGACCAGCAACTCCAGAGTCTTTGGGGTTCACCGTTAATGGTTTGGGTGGGCTAGTGCTGTGGCTAGGCTTTGGCACAAGGCAACGTGGGCCTTCTCCAGGTAGCCCATTCCTTCCGCCCCTTGCTGTCTCTCATGACTTTTTTGCAGCTGCTGAACACGGCCAGACTTACAATGTCAATCGCACGAGTGCCGTTATATTATCTATACATGAATGCCATGATCAACGTTGCCATGGACAACCTCTACGTGAATGCCACTATCGACTTTGTCATGGACAGCCTCACCCCTCAAGGCTGGTTCATCGCGGACACTATGCCATCTACTCCATTGCTTGATGTTTCCTCTTCACTGGGGCTTGGGGGTGCTCTGTGATTCACTGACCTCAGAGGCCAAGTGGCCAAGCCTGGATATCACAGCTCTACAGCTCTACATGCTGTTCGCACCACTCGAGATGACCACCACGCTCCACTGCCAAGGATAGATTTCTCCAACTTGGAGCTAATGGGGAGGCTCCTTCTTCTACTCTTTGCTGTAATTCTGTTTCCATCGGTCACCGAAATGGCTCCACCTGGATGTGGCTGCTACCTGCTGTTGCAATGTGCTCCAAGCCGTTTCTGCCCACGGAGAGTTACCGCAGGAACCGCCAGTGGCGAGCCAGCACACCGCGATCATCCTGAACTTTACCGTGCTCCTTCTGTGTGGACTTCCTCCTGCACTGAGATTCTGATTAGCGGTCGTGAATTCCTGCAGTGCGTCGGGGGGAAAACCTCTCCACACACCATGTAAGCCTCAAAAGGCGAGCCTGCTTGTACAATGCTTCACCAGCAGAGGGCAGGAAAACTTACCCTAATCCCCCCTCTAAGGGGTTACGAATAGCCCGCACTTTCCCTCAGTTTCTTGTTGATTTGTCTTCGTTCTCCTTTGCTTTCACCTTCACAGCGATAGATGGCACTCCTGATAGACTTGTTGTTCATTTTTGGTAGGTTTCCTCCGACTTTGACAGCGGACGCGCTTTTCGCTACCGAGAGTGCTGTGGCTTTGTGGGGTTTTCTTTTAACGCGGGTTTTGGCTTTTTAGGGTTTAGGGCTCAAGGTTTTTCTAATTAGGGTTCAGGGTTGAGGGCTTTGGTTTAATTAGGGTGTAGGGTTGAGGTTGATGGGTTTGGTTTAGGGTTTCGGGCTCAGGGTTCAGGGTCCAGGGTTTAGTGCTTGGGGTTTATGGCTGTTTAGGGTTCAGGGTTTAGGGCTTTTGGGTTTAGGGCTTAGGGCTCGGGGTTCAGGGTTCAGGTTTTAATGCTTAGGGTTTAGGGCTGTGTGTGTGTGTGTCTTTTTTTTGTGGGACCATTTTTGGGTTGTGGGTTTAGGGCTTTTTGGTGTAGGGTTTAGGGTTTTGGTTTGATTAAGGTTTAGGATTCAAGGCTTAGGTTGAATTAGCGTGTAGGGTTGAGGGTTTCCCGTTTAGGCTTTAGGGTTGAGGGTTTTGGTTTAGGGTTTACGGTTCAGGGTTCAGAGTGTAGTGTTTAGGGCTTAGGGCTGTTTAGGGCTTAGGGTTTTTTTGTTGAGGGTTTGGGGTGCAGGGTTCAGGGTTTAATGCTTAGGGTTTAAGGCTGCTTAGGGACGTTCTGATAAATTTGGATGCAGACAACATCCTGAGCGGCTTAAGGGTTTTTTGGTTTAGGGTTTAGGGTTCAGGGTTCACGGCTCACGGTTCAGGGTTGTTTAGGGTTGTTTATGGCTGTTTAGATTTAAGGTTTGGGTTCGGGGAAGCGGCTGAGAGAACAGTTGTGCATACAGCGGGTACCGCCGGCCCTCCTGGCCTGAAAGTTCAGGGTTTGTCATACTCAAGTTTTAGGGATAAGCGGATAATCAACCATCACGCCTCAACCCATGGACCAAATGAAGCCCCCAATGAACCCAAGCAACCACCATCACGCCGCAAACCTTTGAGCACGAGGGCGCGCGCGGAGTGCAAACCAGCGGTGTTTCACGCAAAATGGGCGTACACTGGACCAGAATGTGGATGCACACTGGACCGGAAAGTGGGCGTTTACTCGACCCCGCACCCTTTTAAGGTCCTTCTCCTGAGCTTCACTGAGCCCGGAGCCCACTCCTCCATGGCCTGACCTTCTTTCTGGTCGTCTTTCCACTGGCCAACATACCTGGCATGGTCCCATTTGGCACATCTGGCAACTCCAGTGTGCTCGTTTGAAATTGCGTGTCTGCATGAGACGCTGCCTGGAGCCATCGGCGTGATGATACACGCCTGGTGAGTTCCATGGCAAGTACCAGAACTTTTTGCACAGACCGCTTTCAAAAGGAACCTTCTCCGTTGGCTTTGTCATCCCGCCACTGCCCTTCGTAGACATCACCTGCCAGCCAGCTATGGTGCTCTGACTGCTTGACCAACATGGGCAGTAGCTCACCGTCGGCGTGGACGAACTTTCCAAAGCCCTCAGCCAAACCGTTCCGCCACTGTCCTCAGCAAATGCTTTCCTGTGCCGTTGACACGACTGTGGCAGATTTCAGCTTGGGCAGAGACCATCGAAGCGTGCGCCATCTGGCCACTCCTACCGGTTGTCACCACATTACGTACATCAAATGCAGTGGTTCTGAAGCTTGTCCTGTAATCCGTGGCCATCACGCTTGTCACCCTTCCACTGGCCAGTGTACTTTATGCCATGCCTGTCACAGAGTCACGCAGAAAACTTGTACAAGTCCTTCCTACCAGGCCAAGTGGCTCTAGCAAGACGGTGGGGCGCTCAGCCCGCTCCTGTGTCCGGAAGGCTTCTTTGGATGCACAGAAAATCCACGCCATCAGCTGGCGCAAGGCCAGTCCTCTGAGGACATGTCGGCACTGGGCCTGACCGGAGATGGATGTGGCTCGGCTAGGGCTCCACTAGCACGCAAGGAGTACACTCAGCGCAGGCATAAGCGAAGCCAAGGCACGGTGGGGCCGTCTTTGGGCCACTTTTGGACGTCGAAGTTGCACCTTAGAAAGATGCTCACCCCTCTGCTCTCCTTGAGAAGGCTGCCCGGGACTTTTTCCACACTGCTCGCTTCTGTCCGACCAGCAGCAAATCTATGCAGGCGCCGGGGACTCAGCCGCGGGAAGATGCACTGCCTGGCTTCCACGCGCTTGCAAAATCACCCGTTGCACAGTATCTTGCATTCTGCTAGCATCAAGGCCTCTGCACCAATCCCACTGTCATCCGTGTATGCCTCACATGCGCTGGTTGATGGACGTGCATCACATGCATGCAGGCTGCCCGAACCTGGAAAGCCACCCGCTGTCCAGCAGTCAGCGACTGCAAGCCATCAGCGAGGTCCTGCTGGTGTCTGAACCACAAGAAGGGCACGAGTCAAGTGGCCCTGCCTTGACATGCACGTAGATGCGTGACTTGTTCCGGGACTGGGTATCAGGCCAAGCTTGTGGGCAAGAAAGGCTTGACATGTGCGACATGTTGAGGAAGTGGCAGCCAGTGGATGATCGATCGGCTCCAAGGGCTTGATCCAACCAAATTTGCCCTGGATGCATTAAAATGTCCATCCACAAGCTTCGACATGGTCATGCACCTTCCACTCCAGCACATCGCCCTCCAAAGCTTCGCCACCGAAAAGTGGCTGACGAGGTAGTTCCGGGCCCTTGCGCCAGGGCCAAGGGATACCTAGATACTATTGAAGGACCATGGCTTTGAATTTCACTGGTGAGATGGCAGCAAACTCTTTGCATGTCCCTGCTCATCAAGCGTTGACATCATTGACCTCCCTAGCCTTCAGGTCTTACAATAGGCTTATATATATATATATATGCTCACCCCCCCTCCCATGATCCACGTTTTGGTGTTGAAGCGTGGGGGTGGAGGGTTGAGAAAACCCTTGCA